CCCACCCACCCATCCATCCATCCTCCTTAAACATATATGAGTCTGCTCCCACCATGTCTCCTTTTCCTCCTCCTCTCTCAACTCTGACGCAAAAGCTGAGAGCAGCTGCTTCAGTCTGTCTCAATAATTCAACGCCGAAGCCAAAGGGATGAGGAGCAGCAGGTGAGATGAAGCGAGACATCTGAGGAGAGAAGATGCATGGGGGGAAAAAGGGAGAAAGTTTGCAGAATAATGGAGGCGTGAGGGGACACGCGCCTGTTGATCTGGATGCAGACAAGGTGAGGGGATGGAGAGCTGTACGACTTTAAGTTAAAGTCAACAAAGTTGAACACCTCCTGAGCAGGATGAGTCAAGTTGTGCTCATCAGAGGGAGCTCACTCATSAGTACTTTGGCTGCTAATGCCCAGATGTTTATGAAAATTAACACTCAGTTTAGTATGCTCTGTAAATTGGTGTCAGTAACCCGTGTTGAGAGAACAACAGGCAAAGAGTCGGAGGCATGCAGACAAAAGAGGCTGGAGGAAGTGGGGCAGGTTCTCCAGCAAACCAGCCCGCTGATAAGCACCTATTCTGGGGCTGATGTGCTTGGAGAAGTGGGGCGCTTGGAGCTAAAAGTTAGGGAGAGCCACACGCCTGGACACAAAGCAGTCCGTTCAGACACGCGAGAAAAACGATAGTTTGTAACAAAACTCTCCCTTTAAAACAAAATCACAGCAGTTTCCTTTTTATTTAGTTTTGCTTTGTTTTGTTTTACCGGCTGCTAAAAGCGGAGCAACACAAAAGCACAGCCACAGCACACAAAGCCCCTAAAACGCATTGTTCCACACGATGGAGGCGAGGCGACTGAAACACGCTTAACAACACCCAGTTAAATAAAGTTAATAAAAAATAAAACGGTGCAAAGTTTTAGTGAGCAGAACTCGCCGCCGAGTCAAGGGAGAAACCAGAAACACAACAAAGTGGTGAAAAGCGGCAGCTAACTGCTTTTAGCTAACTTACAGCAGCTATGCTTGTGTCTGTGCGTCAGTACAAGTTGTGAGGATGCAAAGAGAAYACACACAAAAAAAGTGGTAAAACACAACAAAACTAGCCCAACTTTTATCACCCGGTGTGTTTAAATAATAAAATAAAACTCGCGCGCGACTCTGAAGCGCTTTCCCATCAGTTAGCAAAGAAGTAGCATACTTATTATCTTTTCTGTTGTGACATTCACTGCCATAATAATTTACTTACTTTTCTCTCGCCTGGCTATCCGAGGGGACCACAGCTCCTTTCCCCTTGCCGTACATCTTGGAGGCTGTTCTTGGTACTTTTTATTTTATTATCCCACTCGACACCTGTCAAAGAAAGCAACCAGGAAAACCTACTATCTCCATAGCTACCCAGTTAGTGTTGTCTCCCTGTCTCTCTCTTCTTCTTGCGCTCTCTTTGCTCC